AAGATGTCTCTTAGGGTATCTCACTCTGCAGGTTACATGGGATGGTATGAACCCTGTGTTACCGCATCTCTGTTATTCGTTTTTCCCAATTGGGACTTTCCTCTTCCAAGAAAGTAATGTGAACAACACAGGGAATTTTTCCCCTTCACTACCCTACTTCTTTAAAAATTGAACCGAACCGAAACCGAAAAATCAAAAACTCGTGCTGTCCTCAGTGTATTAATAGGGGGAGGGGGACAGTCACGATAAGGTGGGTAGCATGACAGTCGTGCTCGCTAAAAGCATCCTCTGCTGTTAGGAACACAAGCTGCCATTGTCAAGTATCTTTCACAAATATGCTTGAATTATCTGGGAATCGCGAGGGGCTTTACTCATGGTAGTGATTAACTTTTTGTAACCAAACATTTTGTTCCTAGCGCCAGCATTATCGACCTCTTTCTAATTTCTCTTCATTTTGATGCTGACTTTCAGGCGGAATGTGGATGTCATTTCACGCTCAAGTTAGAGAATATGTTCCGTGACAAGGAATTATGGACGACCCAATTAAACGCTTTCAAGGAGTTCCGAGAATCGGTAACGTTTGTTTCATTTTTCTTCGTTTCATTCGATCATTTTTCATATTTTTTGGCACATAGGCCCATCATTTTGAATGCTGAAGTAATTCCAGAGCATTTCTTTGAGTCTTTTCATATCGAAAATGTATGTCTTATTTTCAAAGCTGGCAGCTGTTCAAGCCCTGGGGTGGTAGTAGCGGCAGTTACCACGCGCATGGTACTGAGCTCAATAACCGGATCTAACTTCGCCCTGGCAACCATGACTCTCAATCCTCAAGGGTCGGCTGGTCAGTACTGCAGTTACCTGCGCAAACAAAAGCACTAGTTTGTACGTCGAATGGCCTTGTAGGTAACTGAACCACAGCCTTTTTCATACATACGTCAGAATTGGTAGTATCCATCGGGAGGAATAAACCTTGTTTGTGCTCCATGCCCGCTCCAACATGCAAAAATGTTTTGGAAAAAACTAGCGCTCTACGTCTTGAACGACTTCCAGAGTGAAGGAGCTTAAGCAAACTTCTCTCCATTTCTTTTTTTTCGTCCCACACTGACCGGTGGCCTCCGTTTTTGTATAAATCCTGATCCTGACTCTCGCTTATTTCCTCTTTGGTCGATATATTCTTGAAGAATGAAGGTATCCATCAGATTTCTTTTCAGTATATACGTGGTGCTGGATTGATGGATATTTCTGTACGTGTACTGACGGCAGGCATATGGCCCACGCAAAGTGTTCCAGTCTGCATCCTTCCGCCAGCGTGTGAAATCGCTTTTAATGTAATATTCCTTGTCTAGTACAAGATTTTTCCGCTGCATTTTGCTACTACTAGTGTCTTTTTTCAGATGTTCAGCAACTTTTACGTAAGCAAACACAATGGCCGAAAACTTACTCTGAACACTATGTTGGGTACGGCTGATGTGAAAGCTGTATTCTATGGAAATGCTGCCTCACAGAAAAAGGTACGAATAGTTGTTCCGAACTACATGTTACAAGTTGAGATGGAAGCGTTTACATAACTTCGGTGAACTTTTTATTTTTTTCATCCAATTTTTTCCAGCCAGGAACTTCCGAGTCATCAGAAACGCGAAAAGAAGAGAACAAAATTCTTATGGTTAATACTCATCAAATGGTCATACTCATGTGTTTCAATAGTCAACCCCGCCTTACCTTTCAAGCCCTTTTGGTAGGTTTTCTGTTCTTTGCACACACTTTGAGAACCAGAAAAATATGAGGTGTTCAGAACAATACAAATATAAACGAGAGAGAACTTAAACGCAATCTGCAATCGCTTGCAATGGGCAAACCGACCCAGAGAGTTTTGTGCCGAAAAGGAAAAGGAAAAGATATTGGTAGGTCCTACTAATTTCAAATTTTTTCTTCATTCGTCACATTTCTATGAGTAATTGTGGTTGTTTGCACAGTGTTTGCGCTATGGAAAGACATTGCCTTGCTAAGCTAATGTGTCGAGGCGGATGGTTGTTGACATAGCTGTGAATAATGGTCTTAACAGTGACGGCGGTCCTAGGTGCTGGGTAATCAAAACTTGACGAAGATGTCAAACCGTTTTCGTCGAAAATGAAGGGATTAGTAGCGCTATCAGCTTGAATGAATATAAGTGAGGCTGCAAATGTGAGGGAAGATAAGGGATAAAAGCTACGGCGTTGACCAATCCCTTTCGGTATTCGTCACCCATTAGACCTATTACAGAACCGCAGTGGCATTCAAATACGACCTGGCCTAGAAAACAACTTGCGGGGGCCGGTCGATAGCAAGTTGTTGTAACGGTACTCTTGGATAAGTCCCAAATGATAACTGATTTCTTAAAATTGGAAAACTTGGCCTGTTCGGGTGAGCATGAGGTTTGGTCCCCGTACATAGCAGGCCACGCCGCTTGATATGCACCCCTCCCTCACATTGCTCCCCAAATGCGTAACGACGAGAAGCTATTTTGTGTGTCTTGCGATGATTTGAAATGTGCCGGCTTCAAGGACCCTAATCGCTCAGTAAGGGGGACGAACTGTTTGAAGTTGTCTGCGATAATCTAGACGGCTTATATGATCAAAACACTTGCTCAATAATTTGTCGGAAAGAATTGGGTGGAAAAGACGGTAAGAAAACCAGTTTTCACTTTTAGCAAACTGTAAACGCTGTGTTTTCGACGAGGAGCATCAACATATGTTACGTTCGTCCCTTTTTACAGATGCTACCGATGAATTCTTTGTCAACGATAACTTTCAATCAAAATTAACTCGGATCAAAGTCCAGCTGGTGACATTCAAAGGGGAATGTGAGCCGGAAAAGAAAGAAACTAGAAGCAAGGTAAGCAACTAATTATTCATAGCGAAAGAGAAAACGGGTGGCACCAGGCGGGCAAGCTGCCAGATTTGATCTATTACACTGACGCTTGTATTTGTGCATGCAATCACACTGCATTTTTTAGCTTGCCTTATGCGGTTTTGCGAAGAGGAAACGATTGTTCAAAAATGTTTGATGAACCTGAAAATATGGTGTGGTGGGAAGATTGAGGCGATATTCTGCTTCTTTTCACACTGCTTATTGGGGAAAGCGAAGTTTATTTATCTCAGCATCTTTGATATTATCTTTGGGTTGGTGCAATGTTGCTCGGCGGTTTTCAGGTAGATGACGAGCAGACACGATTATTGAAGCTGCCAATTGTGTGTCATGAGAGTCTATTTGATAAAAGTATCTGCTTGGGCACAGATAATCTAATTACAGAGCGGGGTAATTTGCGTTCAACATTGTTTGTCTTCTTTGCATACCATGGAAAAATTGTCAATTAATCACGCGAATTTGTAGTGTTCTTACCCAAATCAACATCGATTTGGTTAGTTTTGTTAAATAAGAGATGTCTTTTTTGAAATCGGGTTTATTTCAAGCAGAAATACGAAGATGTCGGCGGCTGGTGTGGGCCTTATCTCAAGGGTTGTGCACAGGTTATGTTTAGTGGCGACAGAGGGGGATCATTGCGATCACAGGAAGGTTAGGCTGGGGTTGATTCTGTCGCGGAGAACGAGCGAGAAAATTGAATCGGAGGACTTGTATCAATTCGATTCGTGCCCCGGTTGTCTATCGGATAAAGACTTGATGTATCAGTGCGTATTCCTCTTTGGTCTTAAGCAAGGCTGTAAGATGGAGCAAACAGCTTTTTGTCGCTCTACTTTGTCGCGTCGTTTAGAATGATTTGTTGGGGTCTTGGTTGTTTTGGGTTACAGTTGGTTTATGGCTAATTACTTGTTGTTTATGGTAAATCTACTGCAAATCTGACATTGATTTTCAGGTCACGCAACAGCTGAAGCATCGTTTTCTCCCGAACCCGGTTCTCATCAAGAAGAGGATAGAATCCTTGATTGAACGAGATTACTTAGCGAGAGATGCTCAAGATCTCAAATTGTACAATTACGTTGCGTAATATATGTTATGTAAAATGTCGTCCGGTGTTTTTCTGCTTTACAAAGAATTTCTTCATTCAATTGAAGGAAGCCTTTCAATAACAGCAAATGGCATTTTCTGACTATCAACTTCAACTGGGTATTAAAGAATTCTACTTTCACTTCTGACCATTTGTTTCCATTGGAATGGAAAACACTGATACCACAAGATTGCGCAGTTATTGGTAAAACTCTCCACTCCTGGCGGGACTCGAACCCGCTTTCACTTGACCAACTAACTCGAGCTTTCAGTCTCGCGATTCAATGTCGATGTCAGCTAACCGGCTCATCTTGTAGTACGTGTTAGCGTTTATAACCCATCAATAGCTCCGTTAAGGTGATTATCCATCAGAAACTGTGCCATAGGTTTGTGAAAGTGTGGTTATTGCTTCGAAATATGGAAATGCTGGAAGGGTGTGAAGTTGGGAGTTGCAAATCGTACAAACAAATGCATACAAATGCATCTGAAAGTACGAGGTAGGAAGCTGTGCCATTTAATAGCATGGCTTTTGACAATGGAAAACGTACAGGTGGAGCTTCCACGATGTTGATCTATGCTCGGACCCAGTAGTCACAAGAAATGCTTGAAGCAACAGACACAGCGGGATCCATACTTTTGCTTCTAATGAGTTGTAGAAGATGCTTGAGCCTTAGCTACGAACAAGAAGTATTGCTGAACAAAAACTCACCTTTGAAAACCGCTATAATGGACTTGGACATGTGCCAACATCCTTTTTTTTTACATTGTCTCGCCCACTTGCTAGCGAGTGAGCTGCGTGATGCGCGATTGTCCGTAAACTGTTCTTTCCTACAAGGGATGCCGTCTGCTTTTTGTTTGGTTTTACTTGCTTGTGTCGTTTAATTATCGTATTTCTTTGTCCGCATTTGTGCATATGTCTTTGCTTGCATTGCATGTGCGGTTGCAGTCGCATTATGCTGGCGGAGCGAGCTAATTCGGACAACTCGTCCGGCCCTACCCCCTCCTTAATTCAACGGAAAAGCGAAGCACTAGTTGTTTAGAACTCTATCGGCGGTTTTCTTCCCTTCTTTTTCATTAGCAGTCAACGCGCTATCCACAATTTCATTATCGACCACTTTTACCCCGCGAATTCGATCTGGAATTGTTGCTTCAAACCGATCGTGGGAAATTTCATATAAGGGTAGCGGGCTAGAATCAGCGTAGTTGATAACGTTCTCTACTGTATAATGGCGGGGTCAACTTTGTCTCACCATGGAGGGCGGGCGTGGAGCGTATTCCAAAAGTGTTTTCGCTTGTTATGAGTGGCCGCGTATGGAATTGTAGGATTGTAAGCTTCACTTTTCTGGACGGAAAGACTTGGAAAAGACTGGGACATTGTTTTTGTGAGGTGAAGTTGTTCAAATGTAATTTGATGGGTTGTAAAGCATTCGCGGGGCATTGTGGACCCACACTTTGGAGGAGTTTTTGATCGTGCCAATCTGCATGTTGCTGACGGCATAACGTGATAACATGGTACAGCTCTGCGTTAAAGTGTCGAAGGCTTGAGTTATTTGCAGTAGCTCTGGACGTTTCTTTGGCAAAAAAGACACGATAAAATAAGTATTCAGAAGTGAATTAGTTACATATGGTAATCGCGTTCAAAAGGTGGGTAGCGATCGAATTGGGGTGCTAACTTATGTTAGTTGGGTGGGGCCCACGCGGCAGCGCGGCAGTCTG